GAAAAAATTAGCAAGTACACGGAACTCGCCCAGGAAATAAGGCATCTGTGGAGGATGGATAGGGTGCTTATTGTACCTGTTGTTCTCTCCTGTACAGGTGTGATACCACACACGCTACACAAAAGCCTGGGAATATTACAATTGAGTAGAAATACATACATCGCACTACAGAAGGCCACTATATTGAATACATGCCATATTGTTAGGAAATTCCTGAATACAGACACTGACACACTTATTTAATTTGTTTTGGTTACTATGCCTTGACTCTGGTCTGGCATCGTATACAGCCACCGGTTTAAACCGAGTATTACCCACTAAACCCAACACAATAATAATAATAATAACTTCATCAACTCCTACAAATCACACACTCATACACTAAGGACATACAAATGGCATTTGCTTAGACAAATGCAAAAAACTTCACATTGAAAAAGGAATCCTGAAGAAAGAAGATTTTGCACTTGGAAATGGAGACGTTATTGAATCCATGGAAGAGGGCGAGTTCTACAAGTACTTAGGATTCCAACAGGCCAAACTAACAGAACATACATAAATAAAGCAAAGATTAATTAAAGAATACCAAAGTAGGTTAAATGCCATTCTCAAAACACAGCTAAATGCAAAACACATAGTTAAAGCAATAAACACACATGTCATCCCAGTACTCACATACTCTTTAGGAGTTATACATTGGACTCACAGAGATCTCGAGCAACTCCAAAGGAAAACAAGAACGACACTTACTAAGCATAAACAACATCATCCTAAATCTGCCACAGAAAGATTAACCCTTCCACGTAAAGATGGTGGACGTGGCCTGATTGACATAGTTAACCTTCACTACAAACAAATACAGTCACTGCGAGAGTTTTTCTACAGGAAACAAGAAACATCACAATTACATAAAGCAGTAACTCTAGCAGACTCAAATAGCACACCATTAAACTTACACTCACATCATACAGACATGACACAACACATAAAAAGCATAGACACCATCAAGCAATCGTGGGCTCGAAAGGCACTCCATGGCAGGCATCCTTATGACCTGGCCCAGGATTTTGTTGACAAAACTGCGTCAAACAGCTGGTTAGATCGGGGATGCCTCTTTGGGGAGACGGAAGGATTCATGATTGCCATACAGGATCAGGTCATAAATACTAAAAACTACAGAAAACACATACTCAAAGATACAACACTCACAAATGATACATGCAGAAAATGTCACATCATGCCAGAAACTATACAACACATCACTTCTGGGTGCAAGCTCTTGGCACAGACAGATTACTTACACAGACATAATCAAGTAGCAAATATAATATACCAAGAGTTTGCAAAGAAATACAAATTGGTAGACATCCATCAACCATATTACAAATACAAAAATACAAATACAAAATTTTAAAATCGTTTTTAAAAACGTTTAAAATTTTACATAAATATATTTGTCCCAGGATTATTTACATGATTAAGCAGTAATGACAATATAAAAATTTTTGTATGGTCATTACTGTTTAATCACGTTTTAATTGATTTGATTTTAATTAGTTCAGATTTTATTTTTAAGTGAGGTAGTTAGGTATTACACAGTTTGTTTGATTTACAATTAACCTCTGTCCCCAATTTATTCTTTCGTTAATAGTTTAATATTGTGCTTTTTTTTAACTAATTTATTATACAGATCATTATAGTCTACAGTATATTATATTTTACATCTAATTTCTTAAGTTTTAATTTAATTTTCTAATACTATATATTTTTAAATATAGAATGTATGTATGTGCTATTAAGTTTAATTACACTAATTAAGCAGTGGCCATACATTGTAATGGAGAATGTTGCAAGATCTCACTTGATAATGTTAAAATACTCAAAAAATAAAAGTGTTATTAAAAGGAAATTATTTGAACATGTATAAATCATTAAAATAAATGATTAGACTATTGTTTAAGCTCATTTTATAGCTATTAGTGAGATCTGGCAACTACTTCTTCATGACAGGAAGAGTCCACTAGAGATCCCATTCAAACCCCATCCCCCATCTGGTTATAATATACTATGCTGGTTTTTGTCAAATTAAGGTGATCTCACACAATGAAACTTGTACACTTTTATAATGATTTTAAGAGCTTTTAATTTCAACTTTTTTGAAGAAAAGTTTTTTAACCTAATTTTAATTTTGTTTATCAGTTTTATTTTTTTTTTAATTTTTGTTTTTAACATTATCCATCTCATACTTTTTTACCCATCTACAGGTAATCACAATCTATATTATTTTATAGGAAAAAATTTTTAAATTTTATTTATTTAATATTTTTTTTTCTTATCTACCTTAATTTTATCTTATACAGCACCCTTTTTTAAACAAATTTTATCCAGTCAATTGCCCAATTTTTAATTTAAATTTGTAATTAATAATCAGTATGTAAGTAAAAAAAGATTTAAAAAATATATTATCTATTACTATGTGTGATGTAATTTATATCTATTATTTCTTTTGTAAAGAGTGAAGAGGGGTCACTAAAACCCGAAATGCATTTCCTCCATTAATAAAGCCTATATCAATAAGTGTTCCTTATGTGATAAATTACTGAGAATAAAGCCAAAAACTAGGTTTTTATATAAATATCCTAAATTATCACAAGAAGTAAAATGTCTATGGAAAATGATAAAGTCCATACCATATCAATAGTCTCTCTGCCACAGGATTTATCCTGCATTCATTACTTAAAAGTCTGAAGACGATAGACATTCACTCAAATTTATACAGATCTTTACAAAAAGCTACTATGCTGACAACTTGCCATATAGTTAGAAAATTTCTCCAAACTGTTTGAAGTTTTGTACTGGTCTCACAGGGTTTGCACTTGGCCCACCTGTGAGATACAATATAGGACACTATATGAGAACGATACACAGTAAAAGTAAAAATAATAATGTAAAAAAAATACTGGATAGTGAGAAAGAAAATATGTAGAAAGGAATAAATGAGAAGAATTTAAACTTGAGCATGCAGTATCAATATTTATTAGTTACACTTTATTAGCCAGAATAATTAATTAAGATTAAATTTATTGAAAATTTTTACTCGTAAGGCTTTAATAATTTAATATCTATTATTGAGTGTCTTGTTATTAATATATTTACATGTATATAAATAAATAATTTTATCTGTAGATGGGAAGTAGTGGCATGTTTGAGTGAAATTGTCACCAATGACACACTATCAAATAAAAAGCAGAAAGTGTCAAAAGAATGCAGGAGTCAACTAAGAGTAGAACTTATACAACGAGTAAGTTTATTTTTGATACAATAGGTTTTTCCTGTGAAATCGTTATTATTTTATTACTTAAACATTATTAGTTTATAATTTTTATTATTGACATTTAAAATTTAAAAAGTTTAAATTAACACTCCAAATCAAAAAAGTTATAAATCAAGGAACAGACTCTATATATCAAAGTTAATAAATTTATGTTAGAACAATTTAAAAATGTACAAGTACTTTTGACAGACTTTCATAACTGTCATCTTTGGGCAAAGAAATTTAAAAATTGAATGGCACATTACAAATACAGAAAGTTTGGAATAGAATACAGTTTGAACTTTTAGATTCAAATACAATATTAATTAATAGAATAATAATTAAATGTAAGTCTATCAATATCAAAATTAACAAATAAAGTTAATGTAATGCAACACACAAAACTGAATGAGATAGAAACAGACACAAATGAAAATTACTAGCATAACTATGACTGCTAACATGAATCTACTATATCTAGAGAGGACTAGAAACTTTTCAACTTAGCATGTACAAAAATGCTGTAATTTCTGTTTTCTTTTGTAGGGTCTAGCTCCACACAATCTTCCAACAACAATAATTGGTGGAATTACAATATATTAACTCAACAGTTTCTGATGCTGGCTACATTTCAGCCAAATTTAGGGATCTCAAACACGGTTCTACATTCCTTTTACCTTATTTCTACTGTGATTGTTAAGAATAATAGAGAATTTGTGGGTAATTCTGTTTTTTACTTGGGAAAAAGTTACCCATAAATATAGCACACCCGTATATATTGCATAATTATACCATACTTATCATTCTACTGCCAAGTTTGAGTAGGTTACTGCGCTAAGATAGGAACTCTTAGTGTATGCTGGAAAAATCACAGATTTATATTATTCCAGTCAAAGACAGTGCCTCAAATGTTAGCGTGTATTGCATGTCAGGGCCATATTGAGGTTGTTATGTTGCAATAAGTGCATCAGAAAGATGTAATACTGGACTAACTACCACTGTTGCTACGTATAAACATTCCACCAATCGGCATCTATTAACTATCCTCCAATAATCAATGGCTATGTAAAGTTTATGGTTTGTTCCAAAAATGTGCAATTCAAATTTTAGAACACCAGCTTGAGGTTGACCTCTATAAATGGACAAAAATATTTACTTCTCAAAGTGAGCAGTTATTTTATGCCGGTTCTTTGGTTTTGTTACGTAATGAATTTTGGACTTTGCAATTATCCAACTTTGGTGCTCCCATCACATTGCTTTTTTTAAGGACATTAACCATATTGTTTGGGTGGTTTGGTTGGATGTCCTTAAAAAAAGCAATGTGATATACAGGTTTAACTGCAACTGTAATAATCCTATGAACTATGTAGATGAAACAAACAGATGCCTCGAAGTTCATACAAAAGAACACGCAAACGCAATCAAATACAATTCTGAATACTCTGCAGTTGCTAAACACTGCAATCTATATGGATGTGAAATAGATAAAAGTACAATAAAAGCATTAAAATTCGAAACTAACACCTATAAACTTAAATATTTTGAACATATAGAGATTTTAAAAATTAATAATGCTAATAGAATTAATGATAATCTAGATGTTAAAATTGACGAAGGATGGCACAATTATGTCTTTTAAAAACTAAATATCTTTGTGATGTTATGACTATATATTGTTAAAAACTGTTGTAAACTTGTAATTGTATCACATGTTGTCACTACTTGTGCATCAGATGTAAACTGTTACACACTTCCCTTACTACCGCTCTCAGCACTTTGTTGTAACGCTGGTACCTGCAACTCTGTCATCTTACTGTTTTTGGTATGTACATAATCTGTCTGTATAACTTTAGTTCATAACTGTAAACCAATAATTGGCTAACTTATAACTGTTTTGTATCAGCACTCTGTACATCATGTCACCTTGCAATATTATGAAGATTTATTACACCTGTCTACACTGATAATGCTTACTGGTCATACAGTTACAGCAGTGTTTTCACCTTTATTTTGTATAGCTTTAGGCATAGTTTTAAGTTAACCTTTACCTTATATAATTTTAAATATACTAAAACACCATTAGTTAATACCAACTGATTTTGGGTTCTTTTGTTTCCATATGTATGTAGTCGTTTTTGTGTTTATTAAATGTTTTCACTTTGATTCCTGAGTGTTTGTGCTCATCATCTGTCTACATAACCCATTGAATACGTGTCCGTTTGTTTGCGTAATGGTATGCCAAAAACGGGCACTAGAGGCACCCTAGTGATGATTTTAAATTAACAATAAATTATTTTTATTTGTAATAGGAATTTATTATTGATATGAATTTACTAAATGGTATAAATAATTATTATATGCCTTGTCTTGCCTTATTATATTCCTTGATTAATCTTGTGCCTCGCGTTTACATCATCACGTGGCTCAGTGAATGTCGCATATTGACTCACAGGAAATTTGTTGAAAAAATGGCAGATACATTTAAAATTGAGGTTTACAAGCAAAGGTAAATAAACAAATTAAACTATTATAAAGTATTTATAGAATGTTTAATAGGTAGAAATCTAGATCCATATGATGCAACTGGGACTTTAACAGAGCTGTAGAGCATATTGATAGGAACAAAAAAGTCAAAGGAACTGTGCCTCATGGAAATTTATAAAAAATGTCCACTAGGGGGTGTCCCAGGCTACTGGTTGGTCTGATCAGCCCTCACTATTATCTGCCTCATGGTTGTTGATAATTTAATTAATATAAGAAAAAATAAGTTTTTAAATAACCTTTAAAATAGATATAGTGCTGAGATTGTGTCAGACTTATGAGAATTTAAAAAAATTAAATACAAGCATGAGTTTCAAGGTGCAATTAATTTCTCTTGATTGGATTAAAACGCAGTGTCGAATTAAACTTTTGGTAGACCGAAATGGTCTGTTATCTGCCTAGATACAGGAAACTAACCAATCAAAAGCTTGAGATCTGGGGAAGAGAATCTTTTAAAAATTCAGATCTCAAGGACAAAGGCAGACTTCTCCCTGCCTCCCCTTGTGAAGTTAACTATGCAGACTTTTTTCAGCTTTCAACAGTGAAGTCATCTGACCAGACTTGACTTTGCTTTCTGTTGTGAAGTTATATGCCTTGTCTTCATCCCTAGTGACACCATCCTGCCTTGGACTTCTGGTTTTCACCATTCGTCACTGGTTCTTCCAACACCATAGAAGCATCTCAACTGACTGCCCTAGGGCCATAGACGCTACAGTCCTGCACCTACAATTGACAAGACACACTAAATTGTAAGACTTAGTATAAATAAACAGACTTGTTTGTCACTGCAGCTATTTGCCTGACTTTCCTTCACCTCACATAATGATAAATCTGACATTTGGATATCACCAATTCAGCAATCTCACAAACTGTATTCTATTCCACCATTCTGTATTTGTAATGTGTCATTCATTTTTTTAATTTCTTTGCCCAAAGACAACAGATATGAAAGGCTGTCAAAAATACTTGTAAAGTTTTAAGTTGTTTTATTATAAATTTATTAACATTGATAGACACAGTAGTTTGTTTCTTGTTTTAAAAGGGTTTTTTCCAGTGAAAAAGTTGTGTGTGTGATCTTGATATAGATAAGAATTTCATTTAAGAGCATTTTTTTTTGTCAGTTTTATAATTTTTGCATTATAGATTATATTATGCTGATACTTGTACATAACTGAGTTTGGTGATTATAATATAAAAATTATTGTTATATTTAATGGAGTGACTTAATTCTGGACTACTTGTTGTAGACCAACACTAAATTTCAGAAAGGTTTTTGCATGAAATGTGCAATGCATGCTATGTCTCACATATTTTTTATAATTTTACTATAGATATTACTTTTCCTATCTGTTCACAAATCCTTTTCTTTGTAATTATATAGCTATCTTATATATGCTGCATGCTAATATGAAGATGATGATATTACGGTTTCGATATTACACCAATTCACTAAGTATGTGGAAGAAACATTATTGATCAGTTATTTCAAATAGTTTGAGAAGCATTAATTTAACTGATGTAAATGAGCAAAGATATTTTGTAATTATATATTAAATTTGCAATCTTTTCATCTGATTTGTACTAAATAGACTTTTGTACCCCTAGCAATTATTTTAATTAACAATAAATGCAGTTTTTATACGTTTTTGACTGCATTTTAGTAGGGTATGCCATGAGAATGCTCATTAAGAAGGGATTTTTTTTAAATTTCTCACAGAGGAGAGGGTTAAGGATTACCCTGAAGAACTTGGCCTCTACTGTACTATTTTAGATGTGGTTTTTTGCGTTTTTGACTAAGTTTTAGTAGGGTACCTACTAGTAAAACATTCTACCACACTGGTATTTTACTCCATCTCACTGGAGGACCAGTGTTTTCAATGAAAACTAATATACTTTGAGAATCACTGCACATAATCTAAAAGCAAGACTCAAGTAACATCAGTATGTATTTAATAGAAACACATATAACACAGTCCTAGTGGCATATACCAGACAGCAAGGTGTACAAATTGCATCGAAAGACGTAGCAATAATCCATCTTACTAAAAATCTAACGACTTCCAAAACTTGGAAATGCTAGAAATATATAAGGCTCAAAAGGAGCAAACATGCATTGATTTTAGAGATGCAGACAGTTTATCCACAGCATGGATATGTATTTATGAAGTTTGAACTTTAGCATTTATTGTTTTACAGAGGGTTTATCCCATTTGATATTATTCTGTGTGTCATCTTATTGGTTTATGTTATAACTTTAGAATTTTGTATTTTGTTTTTTTAAATTTAGAACATCGATTATGCATTCTATCCATTAGAATTTATTTGAATTTTGTATGTTTTCAAAGTGAGAAGAACCTGTGATTGGTTAAAAATTTTTTTAAGGTATTAAACTCATTGCTGGATATCAATAAGTTGTGCTGTTAGTAGCTCACTTTTCGTGGTTAACATTAACATCATTCATTTATATGCTAATAATGTAAATATGATGTAATAGTTAAACTTTAAGTTTAAATTACCTATATAGATCTTAATAACTAAAAAAGAACTTAATATTAAAAATATTTACTGATATTTTAATAGGATGAGAATATCCATTTAGACCCTGCATTGGAAAATGCTTGTAAAAATGACCAGATTAAGTTTTGCAATAATAGAAGCCCTGGAGAATCTCAGGTAAAATGTTATTGAAAACTGATTTTAGGAATATCAGATTTTTAAAATAATAAATGATGTATTAACACTAAAAAATGACATTTTTTAATTTTATATATTTTAACAAGAAATTAAGAAGTTTAAAATCCTTGAATATTTATAGAAAATCATTACATCACCTATTTATTTTATTTTTCAAAATGTATTATATATTTCATTTTTATTATCAATATTAGTTTAAACATTTTCTTACTCCTTACAATATGGCAAAGTTTTCGTACAGATATTTCTTTCTTTTGACACAATATATTTGTCTTAATGTATGTTATTGCTATGCAGCAAATTTAAAATGCCTTTTAATCTATCATTTAAGGAATAAAACTGGAATATTTGGTAATGACATATCTCTGAGAGTAACCAAATTGAGTAGTGTTTCACACTAGAAATGAACAACTACCAGTTTTACTTCTTCAATAATTTATGGAAATTTTTTTATTAGAATGGAATGAATCTCAATAATTAAAAAAGAAAACCATATTATCATGCTGGGTAGCAATGCTATTGGGATAATGTGTAAACATTGTCTAAAAAGTTTCTCTGGGAAGTATAATTTAAAAATTACAGTTAATTTGTTATTATTCTAACTGCCTAATTCTAATAATAATAAACAACGCTTTTTGCTCACAACTATAAATTAGACAGAATTAGATAACCTAAATAGAGTGTAACAATTTGCAGGACTTATCACACCAAGGCCAACTGAAAGAAGGACCAGAACTTTTATAAAAAAAACAGTTGGTCTTTAATAATCACATATCAAATTTAGGTAAGTATGCATTTTGAGTACAAGGACCCCTCATCAGCTTACAAACACATGGTAACAACGTAACAAATACAATACCAATAACCTGCCAATACAACACGATAACCAACATATGCAGTGCACTGCATTTACAATTTCTCAATGTAACCCATATACTAAAACTAAAATATCAAGTATAAATTAGAATACAATGACAATGTGGTGTAACATATTATCTGGGACCAGTAAATGTCTTAGTTTCTCCTACATATTCCAAATTCTGGTAGACGGTTACACTATTAATAATAAATATTGTTAAGTATATTAAAAAACACAAAAAAAAGGGGGAAAGGAAGATAACAATGAACTTACTCTTATTAAAACCAATTGGTCTCCAGATTTTAACACAAACAAAATACATCTGATCTATAAGCCTTTGTGAAGTCAATTGCACTGTCCATCTGCATTTTACAAAGTGATGTGACTGTACTCCCTACATGTGTTCAGCATCTGTTTCAAGGTTAAGTGAAAACGATGTCAATCCACCCCTCATGTAGCTTCAGTCCCATGTTGTTATTAATTCTGATGTCTTCCTGTATCCCCACATTTTTCAATAAAGTTATTAAAACCACATAACATAACAACTCTAGCCCCTGTATTTACTAATAATATCAAAAAATTACTAATAAATAAAGAAAATATTATTCAAAATATTGACATAATGCAACAAAATAACATCATATATAGAATATCCTGCAGCTGCCAACCAAATTACCAATACATAGGTGAAACTGGAAGAACCCTAAAAATCAGACTAAAAGAACTTTCACATGCTATTAAATTTAATTACACTAATTCTGCCGTAGCCATACATTGCAATAGTGAAGGTTGCAAGATCTTACTTAATACTCTAAAAATACTCAGAATAGAAAAAAATAGTATAAAAATGAAATTACAGTAGACCCTCCCCTATGACATGGTAGATACGTTCTGTGTTTTATGAAATTCAATAGCGAATATTGCACAAACCAATTGCAATAGTGAATATTTAGCAATGAATTCAAATAGCATTGAAGTTCAGTTCAATGCTATTTGGTATTAAAAATTAGAGATACTCCTATGAAAAAGACAAATAAAAAATAAAAATAATTAAAATTAGTGCAAATAGTATAAATTTATTAAATTATCCTGAGAAGTAAGTTACAGTTGTTCCTCTTCCAATTTATTAGATAAAATTGAAATATTATCTTTAAACACTTTCTATTATATTAATTGATCATTATATTATATTTTTTTATTTGTATTATGTCTTTTGTTACATGAATTTTTCAGGAATGTATTTTCTGTGTAAAACAAAATTGGGTTTACTACATTGTAGCACTTTTTGACAACTAAGTAAAACATAGAAGATTGCCTTGCTACAGCAGCCCTAGTCTTACCAGTTAGAGAAAGAGAGATCAAAATATATTGACATGAGCATGAACATTCATTCCAAATTCAAACTTTTTAACATTTAAAACAGCAGATGAATTAACAACAGTTGCTATTTTTAATTAATCTGCTGTTCTAAGTTATCTCATCTGCTGTTGATTGTTTCATCTCCTTTGATAGCTGCTATTAAAGGAAATGAAGCACTCAATAGCAAACAAAAGGGTGATTTTAACCCTGGAATGTGAGAATTATCAACACACACAATAAAATTGTGCAATGGCAAAACAGTCCTTCAGGGGTCTGCTTCAATGTTCTAAATCACAATTGTTGCTAACTGGCTGAAGCAGTCACATATTTGCAATGAAACAACAGACATTCTAAATTATTTTAAAGCAAACCATTGATTTTTTGAATGTGTAATATAGAACTGTTTTCAGATGGATCTAAAGATGGGACTTAGTTCCCAAAATATTTATCAATTTTAATGTATTTCTTGATTCTTATTTTACAAATGTAAGCTTAAATCTTCAATTTCTTTCATGAAGTCAGTTTAAGCTTAGTCAAATTGAAATACTCATTTGTAAAGAAAAAAGATGGCATGGCATTATAATAATTTATCATTTGGCAATGAACACAAACCACTTTAACTGCTTGACTGATAGTAACTCTAAAAGAATTTAGTTGTCATTGTGAACTCTTGTGACATAATGTATCAACAAAAATTATTTTATTCAAAGAGCTATTTCTGGTGCAAAGTCATTCCCACTACACTACTAATATGTAAAAACAGAAGTAATTTTTATATATAGTTTTACAATGGAATTAATAACTAATTGTTCTTTATGAAAATCAGAATTTTAACATTGTAATTTGACACATTTGTAAATGGAGAGAGAGAGAAGAAAATTGGATATCCAACTTCCCTAGAAAAAAGCAATAAAAGCCATATTTGAACTGTGGAAGAAGAGAACAAATGCTGTGTCTTTGCCTTCACTCTTGTTACTCATACCTCAGATGCGATAAAAAGGATCAAGGAAATCAGTCATTGCATTTAAATTACCAGAAAAAACTGAATAAAAGTTATATTTGCTTTTATACAGTTTGCCACTGATGGTTTAACACACATCAATGTTTAAGTCACATTCATGATATTCACTTCTAAAATATAATAATTTTTTTCTTTTACTTCATTATTCATTACTTTTCAATTGTTTAATTTTTATAATTATTGAAATTTAGGTACTGGAATGCTTGAAAGAGCACAAGAAACAGTTATCGTCTGCCTGTCACAGAGTCATATTTAATCGAGAAAAAGATGAAATGTTTGATAATTCCATAGACTATAATCTTATGACGACGTGCAAGCGCATGATAAAAAAGTATTGTGAATCAGCTCAAATGTCTCAGGTAATTTTATTTAAATATTAAAATTATAATTCTAAGTTATCTTAAATATTATTTAAAGGATTCTGGGAAAACTCTAATTTCCTGCTTACAATTTTTATCATCATATATTTTGCAATTTAAAGTGACTGTAATGCAGATGATATTTGTCTCATATATCCTGTTTTTTCCCTATTTTTTTTTATGTACTAAATAATACTAATTAAGATCTGAGTAATTATGCTCTTAAAAATTGAAAATATTTGCTTATAATATTTCCTCAAAAGCTTAAAATATTCTCTAAAAACATGAAAATATTCTCAAAAAAAATTGATAAGCTTAGACATGTTTTGATTAATTTTTTTTTATATTAGTTTATTTATCGAATCAGTTATACTGTATATAAATAAATTATATATTCTCTGGTTGCAATGCCTAACAAAACATTGTTTTAAGTTCTCAGTTGTAAAGTGTGTTTTGTTTCTGTATATTATTACTACTATTAATAATAATTCAAAAATTTCTTTTGATGTCACATGACTTAACAGGAGCAAAAACAAACGAAGCTACTTCCACAGATAAAATCTGTTTTTCTACTTCTTAAGATCTTGGCTAGTTACATAATATGTTTTCAACCTTTATTTTTATTTATGTGAACCGAGGGGGTTTGAGCGGTGAGCTTCTCCCCACTTATTGGCTTCGTTGTCAGGGATGGCGATGGTTAAGTGAGTGGGAGGAGTAGCGAGGTCGTGATGAGGTGTCGGTCGCACTCAAAGATGACACAATATTAAAATTAAGAATAACATATTTAATTTATAACAAATGATACAAATACATGCAAGTACATTCCAAATTCAAACAAGAGGAAAATAGTAATAATAATAATAATATTTCCACGTTGCAACAATAATAGACTGCTGCTGTCCATCTTTCCCGTCGGCGGGACCGCCGAAGGTCCACTACCCGTGAATTTTCTAAGACCTAATCTAAAACTGGGAAAGAGAGAAGTAAAAATTTTTCTAAGTCTTTACCTCGTGTGCAGTGGCGATCAGAAACTGCGAAGATCTCAAGTGGAGAGCAGGTTGGAGGAGTCTGGTCCTTGGGCTTCTTCTCAGCAATCGCCTGGAGGTGCGGGAGCGATCCCCTTTTCTACATGGTTAGCATGGGAAATATCTGGGGATTTTCTGATGTAATTGTCTTTGCTGCATATGTTGTTTACTTGAATTTTGACAGTTCTTCAGATTTATTACTGTCATTCCCGTCATGGTGACGCAGTTATGACCATCATTGTCACCTCGACTGACCAGTCAGCATTAAAGTAGTCATCACTTGGGGTGATGACTGGCCGGCCCTCCTTGGTAACATGATATAGTTTCTCACTGTACGGTCTACCCTTACAAGTGACCTTTTTGGTTACCCTCTAGACAGTAACATGTGTTTGTTGTTGTTAATTGGTTATTTAATTGTACACCGCAGCTACCTTAGAACGGAGCAATCCCCTGGGGTGAGGGGAGTTGTTCTTCGGTCGTTTAGGATGACTTTGACCGTCTGGGCGGTAAAAGTCGAAGTGGCACAGTACATTGAGGGGTCAAAAGGTCTAGTCTCCAGCCAAAGGGGTGGAAAACGGGTGAAATAAGGGAAATAATGATGAAAGAAAATTTTTATACAAATTTTGGCATTTAAAACTCTCAAAAGAGAGTCTGATTTCTCTCATTTAAACAAATTCAAATTTTTCATGTATCTTTTTAGTTACTGTTCCTAAAATTTCACTAAGTCTTTCTTCAACACTTTCAATCAAACTGACAGCAGTACACAATGTCATCCTTTCTTTCAATGTTTCTATAGCATTTTCAAGGAATTGAAATTTTGCTTTGATGAAAGCTAATTTATGTTCAATAGTTATTTTTCTAGAACAACTATTGGCATCTTCTATGCTCACAGCATCATACAGGTCAGAGAATCATTCAAGCTTTGGCTTGAATGATTCTTTTTATGCCTTTATAATTATCAGCATAACAGTCAGCATTTATCCAGATACTCTATCTGGTTATTACAGGTTCAGGAGGCAATGAGGTACAATGCAGTTGTCTCACAAACTCCTGTCTTCTTGAATGCATCTTCACAAAAACTTTTTTACTTTTGAGATTAATTCATTAATGTTTGGAAAATTTCTGTGTACTTGCCATAGACAGGATTTAATGCAAGATTTATGCACATAATATGGAACCTTTTTGAGTAAAAAAAACATTTAATGTCCCTCCCACTTTAATCATATGGTATGTTGCATTTGTTACGTAAAGAAACACTCTCTTGTATTTGATTCCTGCTGGCCATAAAATATGCATTGTGTAATCAACTGTTTTTGCAGTTGTTCAACGATTTTAGCTCCCAAGGCCTAATTACTTTCTTTTCAGGAAATTTTTAATCTATTGATTTTTTATATTAAATAATTATTTCTACTTAAAAGTGAATCTGACAGTCAAAAAATTGCCATTTTTTTTGTTATTTGATAAATATAGCTGTAGGGATTGTTGTTATTTCATTTGACAGTGTGTGGAAATTCACACATGCAGTCTACATTGTTTACAAACTAATTGCCCTTGAGAACAAATGGTAACTGCTTTCCCTGGACATTACATGTACGCCTCAGGGTAGGAACAGTTTAAGGCAGGAAGGGAACTTGTTTACCACATCTATTCAAATATAACACAAAATTTCTGATTTTTATGCTATAGGGCAAAGAGGGTTTAGGGGAAAGGGGGCAAAGGCCCTTTAGACTGCTTATTTGCCAACAGTTTGGTGAAAACCATTCATGTGGACACTGGATGGCTGGATGATTGGAGACAAGGAAGTTGTGAGATTTCTGTCCCCTGTCAGGAGCTGACACTAGTTAGGATAGTTCAAAGATCACGTCCTAACTTGTGAATCATAAAAGAATGTGGAGTAGGAGGGTTGATTTGACGGTTGAGTGGGGAGCACAATGAGTAAGTTGGTAGGGTCCAAGAGAAACAGGTAATCTGATCAACAAGCATAACAAAAGTTTAATATAACCATAATCTAGAGCAGTGTTTCTCAATGGGGGTGATATCGCCCCCATGTGGGCATTTTCCATGTTGAGGGGGCAATTAGTAACAATTTATATTTTGGAGGGTGAAAAACAATTTTCTGGGCAATATAGTAAAACATTATATTAAGAATAATTAGATATTTTATTTGTTATATTGTACAATAATTAAACAAATAACATTATACTAGTCACAAGTCTACTCAATGCAGTACAAATTTGGCATTTGCCTTGGCTCTTGGCATCGGAATTTTGAAGTGAAGGGGGCAATACTACGTTGAAGGGGATGGCGATTTATTAGAGGTTGAGAAACACTGATCTACAGTATACAGGACACTACGAAATACAACTATATACAAAAAGTAATTATACTACAGCTACCAGACTAAAAAACTGCACAAGATACCATTCTTACGGTTTTGTCTAAGTAGATCGAGAGACAGTTCACAACTGTTTAACAAGACACTAAATACCTCAGAGAGAGAGATGCAGCTCTCTATTTTGGTGGAGGCATCTGTGTAGATTGTCTGGGCGTTTGGCAGGTGAGTCGAGCTCTATGCTTGGAACTTGGCGAGACAGGAAACTCCTTCTATGGAGATGTTCACTCCGAAATATGGCAATGCTGGAGATGTCTGCCTTGTATGGTCTCCCAGGGAATGTCCACACTCGTGATCAGATGCAACCCTTTTTTTGTATGTGTTGCCCATGAGAATTGACTCAGGTGACTTTGATTTAATGCATTCTAAGTTTGAGTTGGGTCCGAGTATTGCTGATATGGGCTGTCAAAAATCGTATGTTTTGACAAATTATGGATATTTTCTATCCGCTATTGTGGCTCATCTTACCTCATAATTCTGTCCGGTTGACAGTCTCCCATCTTTAATAATTGAATGTTTTGACCAAGTTTAAAACATAAGTCCAAACATTAAAATAATTGGTGATTCAGAGGAATATTTGGTGATTCAAAGGGCCTTATCTTTCAATCAGGAAGTTCCTGGTGGAGATCTGGGTTTTCTTCTCTGGATTTTTCCCTTTAATTGATAGTTAAATTAATAAACTAATTTAGCTCTAATTAACCCCTCTGGATCTTCACACTATTAAAATATGGGGAAACCGAAAAAAGGTATATATAAAATATTCTACTGAATGAAAAACAAAAATAACCTGCTGATGTCATAAAAAACATTCAATAGTATTTTTAAAAATTTTATCAAAGTCAAATTGGTCCAATAGAAGTTTAGAACGATTTAAATAATTTGATAAAACAAAACTCTCAAAAAAGCAATGAGGACAATTAATATGCTAATTAATAAAACATTATAAAAAAAACTTTTGTGGCAAAAATAATTTATAAAATTTGCAAAGGTCATAGATAACAATGCATATGTACTAGCCCATACACTTTTGGAAAAGTTATACTGTAAGGACTGTTTTTATTGTAATGCTATGTACCAAACCCGAGTATACTTGGACAAGGAACTACACGAGAGTTCACCTTGCCTGAGACATCTTGGGTGAAGAACTTAAGGGGTGATTTGTTTGCTTAACAAATGCTGTATGAATTTAAAATGTTTTTTCATCTGCCTCCTCCTTAGTATTAAATACTGAATCTAGAGCTCCAACAATGATATTTACTACACACCTTCCAAACTGTGATTTCATTCATACTTAACCAAACATTTGTTCCTTTGAACCTGTCTTGAACTGATTAAATTCACTTGTCATACATTTCTGCCAAGTAATTCTTTTTAAGTCACTTCATCAAATATATTTTTCAGGTATTGTCCTTTAGTTTATGAAAGGAGAAATCAGCACTGCTCATAGGGGCATATAAATCTCTTAAAAATGGAGATTTTGATGGTCCCAGCTTATTTCTGTCAATATTTAAAATTCAGATAAAAGTATAAGAGCACTGCCTATCAGCATTAATAAGGTTTTGATGAGTAAACTCAAAATAAATAAATAAAAACAGTACACCTCTGAACCTTAAAAGTACAATTCCAGAATAGTTTAATGCAGATGAAACACAAATGTTTTCGTATATGTTTTTTCAAATAATCTTAAGAATGTTCCATTTTCCACATTCCATTTGAGAATGCTTTAACCTGAAGATGATCTCCTACGTAGATCGAAAGCATTTGTGTTTTATCTGCATTAAACTATTCTGGAATTGTACTTTTAAGGTTCAGAGGTGTACTGTTTTTATGATATAATATATAATATTTCAGTTTTACAGTGTTTGAACCACAAAATAAATACAAAATATTTCTCAAGCACTTTTGACATGTATAGAATGTCTTCTTTAGGCAAAACAAAAACAAATTTTAGAATATTGATATAAATTTTAACATTAATGTTAATTTGTACTAATTAGAATGCACATGTTAAATTTAGCAGGTTAACAGAACCAGGATACAAGAACATGTCTTGGATATGCAGCATGCTAGAACTTTCACAGCCCTCTCTATTTATACAGCAGATCCAGAAATTGTGATGGACTTCACGCTAGCTAAACTCCTTCTCACAACATCCCACACCGAACATCTCAGATGGTTGGAGGTCTTAGAAATATTTAAAGCTAATTTTGCATCAACTTCTATAAATTTTAAGGAGGAAATGATGACGTTGATGGCTTGGCGGGCTTTACTTTACATGACGATATAGTCATTGGTTGAATCTATGTTATGCTCGGGACAACACATGGCATGGTTTTAAATTTTTTATACTTATAGTTTGAACAGTTTTATACTTATTGGTGGAACAGTCTTTTAAAAAAAGCTTTTATGTTCTGAATGATGTTTCATTGGGAACTGTTATAACACCTGATGAAGATCTCAAAAGGAGTTGGAAAACATTTGTCCAAAGATAGTTTTTTTTGTTTTCTTCACACTGGTTATTGATTCTATGTTTGTTAGTTCAGCCATTAGTTTTTAAAACTTTTGTTTGAATTTTAAATGAACTTTGCTTGTTCATACTTGAACACAATATAACTATCTGTATTTGAACTAAAGCAGCTATTCTGTTCAGGTGTGAAACAGTTAAACATTTGGATTTGATGATGGAAGGAACAATCTCAAAAGTACTTTACCATATTAGAAACTTGATTCCTTTAAATGATTTGTTTGTTATTTTTGTTTCAAGTTTAACCATGAAGTTATCTGATTTAGCTGCTGGATGTCCAATGTCAAATTTTAACTTTAATTTCTTTATTTTTTTTTTATGAAATTATATTTTGGAGAAATTTTGTTCTTGAAAATGTGCTGCCTCAAGTACATTCTTGTTTTTCTGATACTTAGAACTAACACACCACCAACCTATCTTAATTGTAGATTAATATTTGCAATTAAGATAGGTTGGTGTTGTGTTAGACAGACCAGTTTGGTAAACAACACGTACTTCAGACGTTTTTGAACCACAAAATAAATACAAAATATTTCTCAAGCACTTTTGACATGTATAGAATGTCTTCTTTAAAAACATCACTTAAACATGTACGTGTTTATGTGATTTTTTTTTTGCTTAACATAAAGATTCTTTGAACAATATTTGGATAAAAAAGGGAAAATATTTTAAATGACTTTCAATATGGCGTAGAAACTTTTACATTCGGAACTATTGAGCACGTGATTCCGTTCTATCTTTTCTATTTAAAAATCATTCCAAACAACTGTTTTTACGTATTTAATATCGTTTCAAATGATTCTTTATCTGAAGAAGGACCCAGGAGGTGTCTGAAAACGTTTGTATTGTTAAATTTTTAATTTGCATCAGTTAAAGGCTTCTGAGTTATGTGTTGTTTAGTAAACTCCGAGGTGCAGTTGTTCGTTATTATGGCCAGTTTGGTGTTTAGTGTGGACAATTTGGGTTTAAAAACTGAAATTAATTTTAACCAATTAATGTCATTAAAAATTTTTATTTTTTATTTTTTTCTTCTGTTTCATTTTCTGGGATCTCAAATACAGCTCAGGGTCTGGGTGATTTGTAGCTGTCACTTGCTCTGTGGCTGTCCCTGTCGTGGCTAATAGATGTATATTCCTAGAAATAGATATAAGTAAATTAAATTAAAGAGATGTGTATTACACATGGTGACAATTGAAATCAGTAGCAATTTCTTGTTAGTTTATCTTGCTTGAAAAATGATGTTGCTTCTACACATCTTTACTACAACACCGGAGAATAGTAACATAACTCTTTCTAACCTGTTACCGGTGCGTCTACTAATTCTTAACGATCCAAAACGAACCAAAACTAATGTTTTCAAACCCCTATAATGGTTCTTCTTCAGCCTTTTTCGAATCTCTGATGGAAAATGCAGCTCGTAAAAACTTTAAATTCAAAATATATAAGTTCGAATGCACGTTTCCCGTTTCCGTCGTTGTATGTCATGCGCAGTTGACTCCAAAACGGGCTATCATACATTATCATTCATAAACACTAGCCACGCTGTTGATAACATAATCTCTTCTTTTTAATTGATGCATTGATTATCCTTAAGGTTAGCTAAGTATATGCTGGCCGCCTCTAGCCATCTGATATGGTGTATGTGCTGTATGGTGCGGATAATTCTTGCTTTCTTAAATTCGGGGTCTATATCCGGATTGGAGGCATATACTGCTAGCGCCGTCATGCTCCTTTGTTTCTGAATATCAGCTGCGTGTTATTTGAGTCTAACTTCTAAGGATCGTTTGGTGGAGCCTACATACAGAAGGTTTCTATCACATCTGCGATCTATAATCGGTATGCTGTAGACCCCTGACAGCTTATCCCATGACAGCTTATGAAATTAAATGGTTTTTAATTTCAGTTTAAATAAAATATGTTTCATTTACATTAGAACATTGTGTTCTATTTTTAAATTTCGTTTACCTGAAGATGATGAACTTAAGTATGTTGAAAGTACTAGCACAAATAAAAACCTGTTAACATTGCACTCAGTGTGTTCTTTGTTACTTTTTATAAAATTTATGAATCATGAATAGAAAATATTAGGTGTTTTTCATTTAAAAATTTGCTTTGTTTTTGTTTTGGTTAATTATTCTTATTTATTTATTTTTTCATTAAAGAACCATTAAGTTATATGTATAAAATTATTATTTATCATTAGGTTTTGGACTGTTTGAAAGAATATCGCAATGAATATATGGATCCACAGTGTAGTAAACTAATTCTGAAACGTATGATAGAACAGAATACAGATTATAGGTTAAATTATCGACTGAAGCACGCGTGTAGTGCTGACATCGGAAAATTCTGTTCCAAAGTATTGGATGAGCATATTAAACACAAAGAGACCGAAGAATTTGAGGGTAAAGTAAGTATGGTATTTTTGATTAGTAAGACATTAAATAATTCTGATGATTGTTAGAAAGAAAAATGTAGAAGAATTAAATTTGAAATATTTTTGTTATAAATTTGAGTATAGATTAAAGAATTGAAAATTAACTTAAATTTAACACTTAATCTAGGGAAAAAAAATACAATATTTATTGTGTAGCAGCATACGATTCATGCAAGTGTATACACCAGCACAAATGTTTGAGATAGTATTTTATACTATCTCAAACATTAAAAACTTTCTTCCATTTCATTGGGCTGCAATTTGAAAAAATTGTGGATCTATAAATTTGCACTGTCATCTGTCCTTCTTTAATCTCAAGAATGGAGTTAGATACATGAAAGTCAAGAGCAGATATAGAAAGCATAGGGGCAGGAGGACCCAATTAACTATATATGAACTTCTGATGCAAACTGAAAGTCGTATTATTTCAATTCAAAAATTTTCCCTTGAAAGGAGTTTGATAGATGACCAGCATGACTCCATGGCTAACAGAAAAGTATGATGTACAGGGGCAAGACACTACAGTACTAATTTGAGGTGAAGAGCATATATTTTAAGTGAAATAAATTAAAAATATGATTAAAAATTGCAGCCTGGCATTGTGAGAATATCACAATAGATAATTGCTGGTCTTCATTAGTTTGTTGTAGTTGTAATTATAAAGGCAATAAAATAAACAAACAAAAAATATTTGAGGGAATATCCTAAACTGTAAAGTACTGAAAAAACAAATGTTAATTGAATGCCAAAATTTTTTGTTGTTTTTCTCTGTTTATATTATAATTATCATATTTATAATGTTAATAAAATGTATTATAATGGTTATAATAAGTTCTAAAATAAAGTTGATAAACTTAAGTAAAAAATTTAATGTTTATAACATGTAATGATCCTCATTTGTTTGCTCTACAGAACTAACAACAAAATTGGTAGTTTCTAAATAGTTTCCGAGCATTATTATAGGAGTGAATTATTAGAATTTCTCAGCATACAGTCAACATAAGTTTGACTTCCTGTATTTTAGCCGATAACAACTCTACTCCCCAAACTTTTCAGTGAGAACAGGTGTTTTTTGTAATATTTTTCTAGCCCATCCTAACAATTATAACAAAACTTTATATGAGTTTATATAGCATATAGCATATAACATCTCTCTGATCATGTTCAGAAGTTCAGAACAAAAGTTCATGGATATCATAAAAGGAAACTAAATAAAAATACAGGTAGCCCTCGGTTTACGCCGGTTCAGTTTACGCTGATTCACAATAACGCCGCTGCACAATTCGCAATTTTGCTGTGTAATTCCCTGGTTTTCCCTATGCCAGACTGATTTTCGTTTCAGTGTTGACGTATTTACTGAGCCGCGACGTTGTACATTCGTTAAAACAAAGATTTTTATTTAATATATTTATTTTTTCTGTTTAATATTATTGGGTATGTATACATTTGCATTAAATTAATATTAAAATACTAAACGTAAAGGTACCCATGAGTCAAGTTATTAAACTTAATAGTCCAATAAATAGTGTCTGAATCCATAGCGCCAATAAATGTATCTCGTATTAGTTCATTCAGGAAAACACCTTTCGATGCAGTAGCACTTCCGGCACAGTTAGTGAAACAAATCTACTTCTTGTTGGCCAGAAGATACTTTTTTATTAGCCAGAATTATTAGCCAATTTCTATGATATGAATTTCTATGATATGATTTCAATGATATCTACTTCTTGTCAGTCAGATGATATCTATCTCTCCTTAGCCATCTTGAATTTTCCTGCTGAAACTGACCTTATATATGTGCTACAGTGACCGGTGGTTGACCAATCAGTGTCTCCACTTATCTGTAGCTCTATGTCGAGTTAATGTATCCTTTCAACTATGGAAAGTTTGACAGATGAACTTTGTGAGTTAGACAATGATTGGGAGCAAAGTGCAAATGTAAAAAGGAACATAATCACATCCATTTGACCATATTCCGAAATTCTCAATGAAAGAAAACAAAAATGTAAACAATTAAAGATTGATAATTTTTCCGAAAAATGTAAGAGATCTGAAACTAAAACTTTTTAATAAAAACATTTCACTTTATTTTATGATAAAATACATTTTAAAAATTAAATTTATTTGTATTTTGCATTATATGTATTAATAAACAAAATTATTTGCATATTTTTCACTTATATAGAACCTAACCCTATACCTCAGTGTAAATATGGTTCATTTTACAGCGATTCGATTTGTGCTGGCTTTTGTAGGAACAGAACTGCGGCATAAACCGAGGGCTACCTGTACATACATTGGTATTTATAGACACATAAACATTTATAATAAGAAACAAGATATTAGATATATTAACACATTTGTGATAAATCAGACTTCAGCATAAACAATTTAATGTCGTAATATCAACTTTCACATCTGGGAGTAAATCATTTGTTAAGTTCTCAGCAGTAAAAGCAATGCTTTCTTATAACCTCTCAACCTACTATCTCAATTTCTCCAAGTAAATATAGCCAGAAACTGAAAGTTTAGGCAGTCGTCGCCAGTCCCTCAATGGAATATCATCCCTTATCTAGTGCCTAATTTAGTGCCAACAAATATACCTAATTCTTGTGGATACTTCAGTTCAATGGATACTTCTTCATCTACGGGTACACATTTTGAAGACAAACTCTATCTCAGGGGACAAAGGTACATCGCTATACGATCAAGAACACCTCCCAAGAATGTGCACCAGACTATTTTCGAACATCATCATCCAATTTATCTCCACGTGAATCTCATATAAACTCTCTCTCTTCTCTCGCAACCACTTTCAATTAAAGATCCCTTGAAGTTAAGGCCTAACAAACTGTAATGAAACTATAAATTGTATCATGTTGCCTATGTAATTAAATTGTTATTAGTTGTTAACTTGGTACCCTAGTGATTCACTTCTAGTACACTGTCTCTCAACCCATCTCCATCCCAAATCCAATCGCCTGTGTACAAAACTGCTCATGGGACCGAATCAACATGCCATCTCAGCTTCCGTGTCAATTGGGACATGATGGTGTCAGTCCTGACGAGGCACTAAAGAGGTGCTGACCCTCCAGTCACACATTTGTTTTCAGTTGATGTAATTCTGCATTATGTAAAGGTTCCATGATGCAAAAGCACATCAATTGGCAGCAAACATGTTAAATACTATGTTTTAAGATTACCTTGAAAAAATGATTTGTGTGCATATATCAACTGAACAGTAGCCTTACACCCAGTTAAATTACAAGTCCAGTCTTGATATTCATTCCAAATCCTTGGGTATTGTATTTGAACATCAAACTGTAAATAAATATATTAATTTTTTTAATGTTTATTTATTACATTGAATTGAATTAATAATTCAATTATTTTTAAAAAACACAGCATGTTTTAGTTGCTAGTGGAAAATTTTTAAATAAAAACATTATTTTTATTTAATTAGTAGAATTGTATATAATAATATTCAAAGTCAATATTAATTAAGATAAAAATTCAGTTGTGATATATATACAGGTATCCCTTGGTTTACTCCAGCTCAATTTACACAGATTCACAATAATGCCGCTGCGCAATTCACCGTTTTGCGGTGTAATTCCCTGATTTTCCCTATGCTAGACTGATTTTCATTTCAGTGTTGACGTATTTACCGAGCCACGACATTGTACATTCGTTAAAACAAAGATTTTTATTGAATATACTTATTTTTTCTGTTTAATATTATTGGGTATGTATACATTTGCATTAAATTAATATTAAAATACTAAACGTTTAGGTACCCATGAGTCAAGTTATTAAACTTAATAGTCCAATAAATAGTGTCTGAATCCATAGCGCCAATAAATGTATCCCGTATTAGTTCATTCAGGAAAACACCTTTCGATGCAGTAGCACTTCCGGCACAGTTAGTGAAACAAATCTACTTCTTGTTGGCCAGAAGATACTTTTTTATTAGCCAGAATTATTAGCCAATTTCTATGATATGAATTTCTATGATATGATTTCAATGATATCTACTTCTTGTCAGTCAGATGATATCTATCTCTCCTTAGCCATCTTGAATTTTCCTGCTGAAACTGACCTTATATATGTGCTACAGTGACCGGTGGTTGACCAATCAGTGTCTCCACTTATCTGTAGCTCTATGTCGAGTTAATGTATCCTTTCAACTATGGAAAGTTTGACAGATGAACTTTGTGAGTTAGACAATGATTGGGAGCAAAGTGCAAATGTAAAAAGGAACATAATCACATCCATTTGACCATATTCCGAAATTCTCAATGAAAGAAAACAAAAATGTAAACAATTAAAGATTGATAATTTTTCCGAAAAATGTAAGAGATCTGAAACTAAAACTTTTTAATAAAAACATTTCACTTTATTTTATGATAAAATACATTTTAAAAATTAAATTTATTTGTATTTTGCATTATATGTATTAATAAACAAAATTATTTGCATATTTTTCACTTATATAGAACCTAACCCTATACCTCAGTGTAAATATGGTTCATTTTACAGCGATTCGATTTGTGCTGGCTTTTGTAGGAACAGAACTGCGGCATAAACCGAGGGCTACCTGTACATACATTGGTATTTATAGACACATAAACATTTATAATAAGAAACAAGATATTAGATATATTAACACATTTGTGATAAATCAGACTTCAGCATAAACAATTTAATGTCGTAATATCAACTTTCACATCTGGGAGTAAATCATTTGTTAAGTTCTCAGCAGTAAAAGCAATGCTTTCTTATAACCTCTCAACCTACTATCTCAATTTCTCCAAGTAAATATAGCCAGAAACTGAAAGTTTAGGCAGTCGTCGCCAGTCCCTCAATGGAATATCATCCCTTATCTAGTGCCTAATTTAGTGCCAACAAATATACCTAATTCTTGTGGATACTTCAGTTCAATGGATACTTCTTCATCTACGGGTACACATTTT